TCAGCGCCCGGCGCCGCCATGGCCGCGCGGGACCCGGCACCGCCAAGCGCCGCCAGCGCAACCGGCGGCGCAAATCGCGCGAGAGCCAGGGCGAGGCCGCTGCCTCAGGTCTCGCGAGACTGGCGCCCCCGGCGGAGGTGGCGGGAAGCAGAGCTTGCGCGCAGAGCCCCCCTGGGGCGATCCGCGGTGCTGCTCCGCTGACCCTTTAACGCTTAGGAGCTGGTCCTCACACCGAATCCTAAGGAGTGAGGAGTGTTGCTCTCAAAATGCCCTCTCCTCAGCCTTTAGTTGCAGAGATTTGTCTCTGCCTCCCTCCCGTGGACAGGGAGGTACTGGGGCGTGGCTGGCACAGGCATGAACGTGCTGCTCGGGGCAGCAGCAGTGCCCGGCCGAGGGAAGCACCGCCGTAATTACAGCTTGTGAGGGGATAATCAGCGTGAGCGCTGAGCGTGGACAGATTGCTGCCACCTAGCACCGCAGCCACACAGGCGGCTCCAAAGCTGTCTTGTTCTGGAGGATACAGGCTGTGATCTTAAGAGAGTGAAATCTCAGATCTTGACTGATGAAATCTCAGGTCTCACCGTAGTGAATTAGCTGTTTGCTGGCTGGCAAAGCCGTGGCGCCTGTGTCGCTGTTGCCACAGGCTGTGGGTCGCACAGAGGCGCAGTGCCGGGCCCGGAGCACTTGCCGTGGCTCGGAGCAGCTGGAGCACACGGGGACACCCGGGCTCTGGCACTGCGCTGGGCTGTTCCCACACCTCTCCATAGAAAAAGCAAGACCTTCAGTCCATAAAGTCCCCAAGGCCCCTTCAGTTTTCCTGAGCGGTCATGACGGCCCTGGTGCTGTGTGCACAGTGCACCTCAAGGGTCTGGGCTGTGCGCGTTTGGTGACTGAACGCTGACACTGGGCAAAGACCTGGCCGTTGTGGGTGGGCACAGCACTCCCGTTAGGTCGATCAGATGACAATCCAAATCCGTCCAAACGAGTTTGGGAAGGAGTTGGGTAAAAGTAGAGCTTCTAAGGGGATCAATGAGAAAAGCAGAAATGTAGGACCAATTTCTTACGGGATCTGTTGCATTTTTGTTGCTGCCATAGGTATAAGCTAGGAAATATCTATGAAGTGGGAAGCAGGTGGAATAATTGACACAGTGTGCAAATAGAGCAGTGTATTTTCTCTCTTGATAACACCAGCGGTTTTTGGTTTTTTTTCTGAGGCTGTTGAAACTTCAAAAGTAACACTGGCCAGCCTAGCCAGTTCTGTGTGTGGCTTGTGGTTTGTATAAAGTCCAGAAGATTTTCTGGGGCATGCTGCTCAACGTGCAATTGTAGCAGATGGGAAGATAACAATTGTAAATGCAAGCCTGTGGTGACTGTGCTGCTGCATCCTGTTTAAATTGGCTTGACTTGTAGTTCACTCCTGGGTAATGAATTCAGAGAACGTTTTATACAGCAGATCTGTGAAACTTCTATGTAGGCAAAGCAAGCCTTCCTGTTTCCCTTGTAGTCTTCTAGTACATTCCAATTGTTAATGTGCATATCGTTCACCAGATGGTAAAATAATAATAGAACTTCAAATATGTTTTCCCCTCAGAACTAAGGATCTCTGTTCCCAGTTGTGCTTAGAGAAGGCTGAGGAAACTATGTACTCTTTAGTTACACTAAACAATTGACAAGAACTGTTTCACTTGAAATAACTAATATCTCATGGCTCTTCAGCCCACCTGTTCCTCCTAGCACAAAATTCCCCTCAAAAATAGAGACAAACTCTTCTAAAGACTCTTTACCCTGTTAGACCAGGCTGCTGAAGCTGAACACCTCTAGAGCAGAGGTTTAACATAGCAATGTGCAAGTCAAGCAAGATTGAGCTTGAATGCAAGTGGTTTAGCAGTACTAGCATGAGTCAGAACTACAGACTCATTCAGGTGGGAAAGGAGGGAGATCCTTTTGTAGCAATCTCGAGTCCAGTCAAACTCAACTCCAGTTCCTACTCAAAGCAAGGTCAATACTGAAATCCAACCACATCATTCAGGACTTTCCCCAGCCTGGTGTCAAAAGACCCTAAGGGTGAAGGTTCCACAGCCTGTATAAACAAGATTTTCCATGCCTTAACTAACTTTCTAGTGATGTTTTTCCCCCTTTTTTTATCCATTTGAACGTGACTATATTTTTGTAAATGTGTGGTAACTTCATGAAGACAAAAATTCAGGTTCCAGTTAAAATGTATTGAGTTGGTAAGAACAACAATCTGATCTGTAACTATACCAACAGTGACTTGAATCCCTCCAGAACAGGATGCAGTCAGCACTTCTGGCCTAGATCTCTAAGACTGAATGTCGTTCCGGACCACACTTGCTTTTACTTCAGCATTTTCTCACAGCTGACAAGGGATTTGGGAAAGCTGCCAAACTTGTGCTGTGGTTGCATATTTCTTTGAGATATTAGAGAAGAAGGGTGTGGACTAGGGTGACATGATGATGCTTGTATCCCCAGTTGTCTGTTCTGTTTATGCTGGATATTATTTTCTGTGCCTTCAAGACTGGCTCTGAGGGCAAAGATGGGGAGAAGAAGCACACAGTTTGTTATCAGCCTGCTCTCCCTCCTCCACAGTCTGCTGGAACACAGAACTCCACTGTGTTGTCTGGGCATGGACGGGGCAGGACAGGGCCCTCCTTTGCTTTTTAGTTAGTTTAGCTAGCTGAGGCTATCCAAGTTTTCCCAGGACTGGTTTTCTTTCCTTCTCTTGGAACTGTTCGAACCTGCTCCGGACTGGTACCCTGTGAAACACCGAGATCTTGCACTTTGTGGCCCACCGGGGCCTGCTCTGGGCAGCGGCCTTTCCCAGCACCAGAGGGACTGATAACAGAGTGACCACCCACAGGAGAGAATTTCTGAATTGGTCATACCTTCAGAGAGACTAATGAGTTTTGTCATCTGGGATTGTTCATTTTGTGTGCTGGGGAGTGCTTTGCCTGTTTAAATAAACAGGTTTTTTTTCCACTTCTCTCTGAGCAAATTTTCCTGAACCAGTTGTGGGGAGGGACCGTGTGGGTTGGCTTTCTGGGGGAGCCGCTTTTGGATGTTTCCTCCCAAATTTGCCCTAATCCAGGACAGGTGCCTAACACACCTGAGGCAGGAATTTGCCATGCCTCAGCCAGTGGCACAAGGTGGAAGCAATGCCTGTTCTCAGACACCTTCAGCACCTGCACAAGGAGCACTCACTTGCCTCAAACCACTGGGGCAGAGGATGCAAGAGCTGAGGTTTTGCTTTGTCCAGGCACAAGCTGACTGTGAACCAGGTAACCTGCTGGTTTCACTGATGCCACAGGCTGGAATAACTGATTGGCACAGCCCAACTTCCTTCAGTGACCCAGACCCCAGGCTTGATTTGTTATAAGGAAGGGATAAACTCTGTACAAAGGCCCTGCTCATAGCTGACAGCCCACAAGGGGGCTGCTCTGGGATACAAGTGTGCATGCACGGATCAGCCGTGGAAATACTGCACTTTCACTTAGCCATTTTAACTGCCTTGGAATCTTTTTTTTTTTTTTTCTCTCCAGTGTTTTTGTTACACTGGAACTGGAGTGCTACATTGCCTTAAATCCTACCACTGCATCGCCAGTAGTTATGAACGGATAAAGCCACATCTAATTCATTAAGGGAAGAACATTACTCTTCAATTTGAATGCCATTTATTATTCAATAGAGAGTCACTCATGCTCAAAAAGCATGGAATAACATATGGGGGAAACAGCAATATGCAGACCAAACAGAGGAGGCTATTTCTTCCAAATTATAACTTGGCATCAACATGAATTGCAATAAATGGATCTTCAGCATCGGTATTAATCTGGAAATTAGCCTTTCCATCACCAGAAACATACACCTGCTTTCCAGTACATTTGTTGTTCTCCTTCTGTCCAGAAATAACATCACAGTAGGTACCAGCAGGCAGTCCAGTTTGCACATAGACGTTCATATTCCTGTGAGAAAATAAACGTGATTTATGCATTGTTTTTAAAACAGGTATTTCAAATGGTGTGTAAGATTTCTGAACATGATCTTACTCCCCTATTTGAAGGGCACTGTAAAGCATGGGTTTTCTGATCCTATCCCTCCTACACTCCCAGAGGCATTTCAGCTCTCTGGACCCAGCATGCACTCAAATAACTCCTGTTGGATTGCTGATGAGGGATGCTGTTGTTCTCTCTAGCACTATTTCTGCCACTGACTTTGGTCAGTAGTAATAACTTCTACTACTAACCTTTATTACCACGGCCAAAAGCCACTTGATTGCTGCCATTGTCCCACCAGTTGGAGAAAGGCTCACCATCCACCACATTACGGAAGATAACCATGTTCCTGGAAACACAAGCAATGTCTGC